AAAGTAGTCAAGATAAAAAGTAGCTACAAATATTGGAATTATCACTATTTGTAGAGAAAATAACCATCTAATAAATGATAAGTTCTATTGATAGTCTATTGAAAATAAAATTAGTTAAGTGACTTCCCAGTCACTTAATATACACACATATACATAAGTTATTAATTTTCCTTTGTCACAGTTGCAGCCAGCTACACACGTAATATATGGTATCTAACCAGCCGAGTTAGCCTGACACTTTCGTGCTTCAGCATCCAGAGTATTATGTCTAGAAAGCTTCATAGTGCTGAGTAAAATTAGAAAGTTGGTGACCCTAAATGGGGAAAAATTCACAATAATAATAAGTATGCAAGCACACTGATTAAGTAATATAGGCATTTCTGAAGAAAACATATACTTCTGAGCACTATGAATATAATTTTTAATTAGTGAAGCATTCTTTATTAGAAGATGAGAAAAATTCGACATTAGACTTTTATAATCTTTCCTGATTTAATACTTTGAATGCAATTCTAATAAAAATCTAAATGGGTTTTTAAATATAACAAATGATTCTGAAGCTTGCAAGAATGAACCCAAACAACTTAGATAAAACGGTTCTAAAGCAGAATACTAAAGGGAGGGAAACTTGGATTTTGATGCATGAAAACATATTAAAAAGTGAAAATAATTCCAGTTGTGTTACATGTGCAAAAAAATTATCAGTAAACTCAAAGTAGTAACAATTCTACAGGAGAAAGCTACAGGTTTAAATATATGAACATGAGGCTAAATTTCAATTTGGAAAGAAAAAAATCAGTTAAAAATAACGCTGGACTAATTGGTTGCAAGTTGGAATAACACTGAGTGTTACTTGAATCTAGCTAGACGAGCAAAGGTAGTCACATTACTTCTAGGTAAACCAAGAACCACTTCATCTCCCTCCTCACCCGCCTGGTAAAGAATTTGGGGAAGAGAGAGGCAAATCAAATAAGATCATCTTTTAATATCACGAAGCAGAAAAAATTTAGAGAAAACATTGAGAGAATGATTACATATGTAGAAGTTAAGATTGTCTGCACATATAAAACAAACACATGCACACTGTAAACAAAGATTAAAGACATATGGCCAATTATGTATTTTTATTCAAATCAACTATGACAGATTTTTTTAGCTCTGAAATTGTAAACAGTAATTTTAATTCTAAAAGCAAACTGTGCCCATTGCAATATAATACAGGCAAAGGACCTGCACTGGACACTTACAAAAAACAACAAAAGTAGCCCAACACTTATGAAAGCATGTTTAACATTGCTGGCAATCAGTACTTGCTTAGGCATGATGTGCTTCTGTGCCCGGTGCACTGACACCACTAATTGCCGTACCTGTGCTTACGTGAACGTTTATAGATAAAGGAATATAAAGGAACGTTTATAGATAAAGGAATATTTAAAGTGTGGCAGGTGGGTGCTGCTTATCCGCTAGTATTTCAGCTCAGTAACACCTTTGTCAACACAGTAATCTTTATAAAATTATTTAAATGTTATTGCTATATTTTGATTTTTATTTCATAAAATGAGTGGAAATGAAAAATGAAGAGTGATTTATATAATTGATATGAAGTATATATCATACAGCTGAAACTTTAACAATGGAGATGAAGATGGAAATTAACTTGCTGTTTTAAAAACCCTCAGAGTATACTTGAGAAGTATCTATAAAAGCAAAGTATAATTAGGAGGTTTTTTTATTTTTCACCTTTTTTGGATCTTCCACTGATGTATTATTTTTGTCTCTTTTCTTGTTTGTTTTGTTTTTCTTCCGGTACCAGGAATCGAACTCATGACCTTGCGCTTGCCAGGCAGGTGCTTTGCTGCTGAGCTAAATCCCTAGCCCTTTGATGTATCATTTTTACTCATTTGAATTTGACATTGGTTGACAGAAATTCATCACGTGTAAACTGATCAAATGAATAAAAATGGAATAATTTACTCTACTTTAAAGAAGTTTTAGGCAAACAGGCCTTTTAGCACATTGCTGGTGCTGTAAAATTAACATGGTGTTGTTGGAAGATAAGACTATGGCTTATATCAGAGATTTAAAATATTAATTCCTCACATTCCACCAACTTCACTTTAGGTATTTATGTCAAGGAAATAACTATATTGTCAAAATGATTTATGTAACAGAATATATTTTCACTATAACATTACTTTGATAATAAATAATTGGAAACTACCTAAATATCAACAATATAAGGAGGTTGATTATATGAATTATCATGCAGCTGTAAGCTTGGATGCTGCACCTTGAAATAATATTCTAATGACATGAAAAATATTAGTTATATATTGATTAAATAACCAGCTCACAGCTTTCTAAATTACTCAGAGTGCCCATTGTACACACAGAGGTAGAAGAAATATAAAATAGAATGATCATAGGGATAATTTCTCTGTGTAAGGTAGTTACAGATGACACCATTTTTCCTTTTTTTTTTTGGTCTAATTCAACATTTCTAAAGTTTTTACCATAAATATGTTTTTAGAATCAGAGAAATACTATTTTTAAAACTATGCTTGAATTAAAGTAAGGCAAAAAGTGAAGGTTCTTTTCAGAGGAGCTTTATAGTATACAATGGAACATCTATGACAGAAATATTGTATTATTTCCTTTTCCCTCCTATTTTAAGTGCTATTTACACTCTATCTTATTTTAATGTCTAACATTCAAAGGTTATTACTATTACTCAGAATGCTACTTCCTGATATTTACAGTAGAATGACCCTTTGAGAACATGTCCAATGTCAGTAAAAAAAAAACAAAACACTTTTGAGATCCCATTTCCTAAGGCCAGAAAACTATTTCTTAAAGTCATTAGTCAGTATCCAATATGTTTGGACATGGTGCCTTAAGATATTTTAATGGGATGAGAATAAATTACAAATGACAGCCATTTGTACTGTTGTGCTCTGATCTGAGTCTATCGCATGATATCATGAGATACAGACTAGAAAGCAGGACAAAATGATATGTAAAATGACTTAGAGATATACTTGGGTGTGGTTGCAAATTTAGGAATTCTTTAAAAATATACTTAACTGTTTTAAAGAAATAATATCTGGAGAGATGAGCAGCCATCCCATGTGTGAAAGTAAATAGGATGAAGAAAAAAATCGGTAAAGAACTGGAAATACCTCTGCAATATTGCCAATATAATCATGCAAAAATTAATAGAATGTTTAGAACACATTTGCAGCAAGAGAGCATAATAAAGACAAATATAATAGGATTAAATATTTGAAATATCAAGTATATCTCACACTCAGAGTTCCCGAAAGTAAGAAAAAGAGAAGAGACATGAAGGTGTTTTCAGAGAAATAATGTGATAAATTTTTCTGTGATGGAAGACTCTGAGGCTAAAGCTGAAATGGCTCGCCACCCAGCCCAAAGCCAAGAGACAGACACCAAAGCTCGCCCTTCGTCACTGCCGAATAACAACGCAAAATGAAAGAGCGAGACAGAATGTGCACAGGTGTGAATGAAAGAACAAAATAAGTAAGGGGGGTTCAAATGGAAGGATGATTTTTAATAGCAAGTAGAAATAGAAGACAATGTTGGGAAAATGTTTTCAAAATTCTGAAGATTTCTAACCTGGACTTTCTCACCTAGTCAGATTATTAATCCAGCTAAGGTCGTGGTGATCCTCTATTTTATTGACTGAAGAGAAATTTGCGTTCTCTCTGGAGGGAAGGTCAGTTAAGGAACCCAGCTGAATGAGGGTGCACCGAGTACAGGAGCTGCCCTCCTGGTCCGACGTGGACCTGGGTGTGGAGCTTCAGTCAGCAGAGGTAAGAAAAGTCAGAAAGGCCCTGCTTGCCTTTCGAGGCTGCAGCTGGAGGGCCCACAGTTCTGCTCTTCGTATCTGTGGTGCGCCCCTAGCCTTACGCCCTCACCTGCTTGGGAAGGTGCTGGAGAGGCAGGAGGGCCCAGCTGGGCAGCAGCATGGAGTCATGAATGCAGGTTATGGAAGGGATGGCTCACACTTTAGTGGACAGTGAGCAGTTACCACAACGCTGTCTTCGTCTTCCCTTCAGTCTTCCTGAAGAGGCTACGAAAAGATGTGTAGCAACAAATAATGAGAGATCAGATGCGGGCCTGCAGCACAGGCAGGCGGGGATCCCGGGAGAGTGGAAAGGGAAGTTCCAGGGTGACAGTCACAGAGCCACACAGCAGAGCCAGGAAGGGCGGCCCACTCAGGTGTGTGTGTGCCACGTGGAAGAGTGTTGTGAAACATCCATGTATTGTATTTATCCTTTTGCAAAAAAATAGGCAGAAATGTGTAGAAAGCTAAGAAAATAATTTTAAAAAACTCAATTATTAACCCAAAGAAATAATACAAGAATGGGAACATAATCTTATTTTAATTCTTTTTTGTTGTTTGTTTGTTTGAGACATGGTCTTGTTATGTAGTTCAGGCTGGCTTTGAACTCACTGAATAGCTCAGGCTGTCCTGGAACTCACAGCAATTCTCCTGCCTCAGCCTCCGGAGTTCTGGGATTATAGGTGTACACCACTACATCCAACACTAATCCTTGACTCAGCAATAGAAACTAGCTATAATGAAATACTTTAGGAATTAACCAAATGTTGTTATGTAAATATACTCGGAAGACGGTGAAAATGGGAATTGGTTGTACGTGTGTGGATGATTTCATGTAAGAAAATATTTTTTCCATCTTTACCACAACTGGAAGTCAGCAGAAGATGAATAACTATAAAATAGCCACATAAAATAACCAAGAACCCTTTGAAAATTTGCCTCTGGGAAGTAGGACTTGGTGTGGAGAAACATGGCCAGGAGTATTTGTTTTCACTATAAATATTCTGGAATGATTTGACTTTTGCAAACCACATGTGTAGATTACTTTCATGAAATTAAAAATTAACAATTTAGAGCTTGAAGGGGTTCACTAGGGTTACCGGAGAAGCTGACATACACCCACTTGCATTTCTAGGTGTATTTGTAGACGCAGGAGAATTTGTGTACCCAACTTTTTCAACATCAAAATCTTGTCATCTCTGCATGCTCTTGGACTGTGGATGTCAAACGCCATCCTCTTACCCCTTTCGCGTGTCATCTGAAAATGAACTGGCGCACCGACTGGTTGATGTGAAATGAGCCTGATGCCAATCAATCAGTTGGATCATTCTGCCCTTCAAGGTAATGAAAATGAGACTCATTACCACACCTTAGTTTGGTATTAAACGGGCTGTCCAGTCAATCAAATAGAAAAGGAAATGTTTGTCTGCGTTTCACATTCTAAGACCTACTCTTTGCTCCACTGGGTGCTGAAATTATACTGGTGGACTACTAACTCTTTAATACTACTAACTCTTTGGCTTTGGCAAAGCACAAACAATCATGGAATGAATAACAGCATAATTATCAGCCATTCGTACAGAAAAGATTAACCAGGACTTGTTCAGATTTGGAGTGTGTTCATGTGTGGGGTTTGCTTAGCTCATACAACAGCGGGATGAAGAGAATCTAAAGACACTGGCAGAGGGGAGACCCTGGAGAGAGGATCTAAGTTTCTTTTGGTTGACCTGAGTGACCTGGGCTTGGAGGAGGCTTTGGGATTTTTTGATACTTATAGTAATAGGAAGCTCAAAAAGAAAGCATATTGTTGTTTACTCCTTAGATTCATATCCACAATGGAGAAAGTTGCTTCACAAATCGTTTGCTGGTAACTTAGAGCGCTGCATGTGTTCACTGGGCTGGAAGCTGCAACTGCGTACAGGCTGGGATTTTCCCCAGGGCCCCGGGGCCCAGCTGAGAGTGACGCATGGGCTTAGCTTGATCTGTGGGCAAATAAATATTTTAGGAAACAGCGCTTTGCTGTGGTGAAGAAACCCCCAACTTGCCACTTCTCCTTTTCCTCAGTCCTTCATGGTGAGTTTCATAATAGGTCGGAGTTTTGCTTTATTTCATGCCAGATGAATTGCTGAAAGTTGGTGTGCAACGAAGAGTGGAATGATTAAGGTAGGTTTTGTTTTCGATGGGATTATGCCGTGAGATAACATTTTTAGTCTCCATAAATTCCTTCATATAAGAGAATCACAGATGTGTCCCCGGCCCCACTCATTTTCCTCATAGCCTCCATACATCACACTCAGCTCTCTCTTCCGGGGGCTGCAGGATCTATACCCAATGGCCTGTGCCATGAGAGCTGTCATTGTAACTATGAAGGACACTTGTCATAGTTACTATAAAAGCAGGTGTCCTTTAGATGCATTTTTCCTTAACTGCTAGGATTTCCATGTCTGTTTTAAGTTCAAAACCAACATTGTGTGTATTTATAAGCTCTATGTTTTCAAATAACTTTTAACAATTATTTTTAATATTTTATTAATAAACCAGCCAAAGCTTTGAATCCTATTCTTATATTTCCTATAAAATAACTATATCTGCACATACAGGGATGGTGAGAGCGGCTGTCCTTGTGGGTGGTGGTGAGTGGGGTTTAGCCCTGAAAGAACTAGTGGAAAGATCTTTTAAAATGGTGTGCAGAAATCATTCTGTTTCTTTTTTTATTCCCTCCATTGTGTCTACTCCTTTTAAAGGAATATATTCATGCACATGTATATATGCACACACATTTCCATTTATTCAGCTGTGCTTTATATTAGAATTGTAGGGCCTGGGGATTTAGCTCAGTGGCACAGTACCTGCCTGGCAAGAGCAGGGTCGTGAGTTCGATTTCTGATAGAGGAAAAAAACCCAACACCCCCCCCAAAAAAAAACAAAAACAAAAAACAAATATATTAGAATTGTGCTAAAATGCAAAGAGAGAAACAAGGGTGACAAAAGCAAAAAGGGTGAGAATTGCAAAATGTTTCTTTTCTCGTCAGAGAATGATCAATAGTCGCTCCGCTGAGGCAAAATAATTTCAGTTTTCCTTCAACATAATAAAAATGGCCGTCTACAGTTCTCCTCATAACGGACTCAACGTTTCTCCTGCAGTGTGTGCACTGGTTTCATCTGTTCTTTGGTGTGAACAACGTCTATCCTTAGTCCACAATTCAGGTGAAGCGTTTCCCTTCCAGTGTGCGGCGGCCTCTGTGGTGCAGTCAGAGAGGAGCCCGAAAGGCTCCTTGGATAAGGGCACCCTTTCCGGGCTGGCGTCCCCACCTCCAGAGACAACACACCGGCAGTGCGGAGGAGCCTGTCAAGGTCAAGGTCAAGGTCAAGGGGGAGGCCCAATCTGGTCTTGCTGTATGTGCTGTGAGCCTTGTAAATGACGCAAGCATCTAGAGTTACTGTAAACCTCAGGACTTTAGCCTCCTGACTGTTCTGTCACACTAATGGGAGCCATGTGATGAGGATCAGTTTTCACTGATGTAGACACGGAGTCTTTTATGTGTGTGAACATGAAGACAACAATATGCAATGCATCAGCTGTTGTAACTGTCCTACGAACCTGTTTCAGTGTTAATCTTTTTTCTCTTTTAAACAAACAAAAAAAAAAATCCATACTCCATCGTCAAAGGAAGCAAATGTCTTTTCTTTCTAAGCAAAATTTCTAAAGACAAAGATTTTAATGCACATTTTCCCTTTTTTTGTAGTCTATAATATGTGCCATTTTGAAAACAAATATTTCTTTAAGGGAAAAAATAAACTTCAGAAGTATTGTTTCTGAAGTTATTTTTTATTTGTCCATTATTGTTGAGTATTTGTTTCCTTTATAATGAAATATATAAATCCAATTTCAACATGTGAGCTGTCCACACAACATGCATTTGATCTGAGGGCCAATTGCCCCTTAGTTTTAGCCATAATAAAATGTTTTCATTAAAAATTGTGCTATAGATAAAGTTATCACTTTATAGTGGTACCTTGCTTTATGACCTTCATTTGTTTTATGATTTAGGGGAAGGTGGCCGCATTTCTGTTTGTGTGGGGCAGGTGGCTGTGGTCGTGCTTGTCACCTGATGTGGAGTTTACATATGGAAACAAAATTTTGCTGAATGCTTCTGTTTGCAAACTGAATTGTTCATAAACTGAAGCATTACTGGACTTTTTCATAATACAAATGTTAAAGAACTGTGTCATTTCCTATTAACTTATAATAATTTTTTCATTTCTATTATAAGCAAGACACTAGATTGCTAATTTTTATCTCAAAAGGCATCCCTTTACGGGGGAATTATAACAAAATAAACAAAGTTCTGGCTTCTAAAGGGCTAATGGTATAGTTTAGTATTGTAAGAGTTTAGAAAAATGAAAGCCAATCGTGTTTGGCTTTGAAAAATGGAAAGAATTTGGATAAAAAGAGGGACAGTATTGCGGGATGTGGTAACAGAGTGAGCAAAATTCTGGTCATGAAATGGAGAAGAAACAAGTTTGCCTCAAGTTTATAATTTGGGCTTTACATTAGTTACCCTTAGCAATGTGGTGCTTATCTATACATTAGTTATCTATAACCATGCAGTATTGTTTATGACAATATTAACTCAAACACAGTGGCTTAGAACAACTACTCACTTTCTGTGAGTGAAGATTTGGGCACAGTTCAGCCAGTATTTCTGCTCCTGTCTCACAAGGCGGGAGTCAGTGTTGATTGGGCCAGAGGTCTCACTGGAGGCTTGACTGAAGAAGGACCTGACTCTATGCCCTGTGGTTGTGGGCAGCACTGTGGTCCTTGGAGTCTTTGTGAGACCAGGAGGCTTCATTCCTTGCTGGCTGCTGGCCAGTCCTCAGATATTTGCCGTAATGGCCTCCAGCATCAGAAAACCGAGAAAGAAGGGAGAGTCTCCTAGTGAGACATTACAATCCTCTGCAGCAGAGTTATGTACGGGTCATCACCTTCCCTGTGTTCGGCTGGTCAGGTGCAAGTCAGAGATCCCACTCCTTCCAAGGCATAAAATAACACCGGGGCGAGACTGCACACTATAGGCAGTGGTCAAGAAGACCACTTCACAGCCTCTTCACCGTGAGGATCAAGAAGAAAAATCATTTACTACTCTCTTTAAAATAAAAAAAAAGTAAATGCAAAAGAAAAAAGAAGAAGAAAAAACTCAGGAAATAAATAAGAGTGATTTTTTTCAATGAAGAAATGGGTAAATATATGTGGTTATTGTCATTTTGAGTGGAAAAGCACCTAACATCTTATCTGTTGCTGATATAAACTGGGATGTGTGTTAGGGGCAGTGGTCTCACTTGCAAAGGGTTACTGTCCGACTCCATGCAGATCGTTTGGGAAGCAGTACTTGAGGGGTTCAGACTGCTCCTTCAGAATGTGTGTGGTGCAGCCGGAGGAGGTGGCCAGGGTAGAGGACTGTGTGCAGCTTTTGAACAGAATGTGGTGAACAGAGAGCTAAAGGGCCATTTCCTATACATGAAGAAAGCCTCAACAGAATTTGGTAGATCTGCAGGTCCTAGTTAGTGAGAGAACAATGAGGAAATTACATAAATTACAATTGGGGTAGGTAAGACTCAAAAGCAGTTTGACCCCAGAACCCAGACTCTTACTCTGCACCCTTACTGTTTCTGAAGTGCGAAGGTTTTTGGCAAAAGCATCTCAGAGATCTTTCAGCCCTACCTGATTCATATGGAAAGCTGAGAGTGCACAGTAGTTCAGGTTCGGCCCCTAATGGTGGAATAATCACCTGGTATAGTCAGAAGCAACAGTTAAAACAAAATAAAATCCCAAGTACTACTGCTTTAAAAGATTCTCATATTCTTTTCTTCACAACTCTTATTTTGTAGGAGGAGCGCTCTCAGAGCAGCATTGGTTATCGCTTAAGGATTTCTAAAGAAGAGGCACCCCACGTAGTTGAAAGAGATTGAGTGTCTGAAGAACTCCTTGAGGGTTCTGCTGCTCAGGGGATTAGGCTATCAAGTAATTCTGTTAAAATAATGTTTTAATAGCAACAGTCCCCTGTCTCAGGAAAGAAGAAAGCTGTATAAAGTGGATAATTTCTCAATCTTTTTTTTTTTTTTTTCATTCCTCTACCTCTTCAGTACAAATCCAATGTGCGGCTTTTAAAGCAACATGAGACAGAGATGGGAGAAGCTTAAACAAATCTACTGGAGCATTTTTGTCTGCTAACTTCAAAGGGAAGTCAGACTTCAAGGACATGTGTAGAGATTCAGCAGGGAGGAGGCTTAAGTTATCTTATGACAGTTTGTCTAGGTATGTAGCATTGCTAAGTGTGAGCACCACCTAAGGTTGCTAAAGAGGCCCTGGGAGGGGGTGAGGGAAAGATGTGTACTAGAATTTAATCACTAAAGTGGTTCAGAGATCCTAGTAGTAATCATATCAGGCTGATAGATGATCTGAAAACTGTGTGAAGTGTTTGTTGTTCAAAACAATGATCTGATTATGTCTTTTTTGGTGCGAACCAATCAATCATTATCTCCTTCGTGTTCATTTCTGATAAATTAATAGGTTGAGACGTCTGGTCACAAAGGCCAGATAAAGAACAAATGATGAAAACCTCATGGAAAGTAGACACATTTAATTTGTAGCGCAGACATGTGTTATTTATTTTTCCTTTCAGTCTAAGATAATTCATGTTTACCTCTCTATAGAGGCTTTAACCTTAACGGTTAAAGCCTTAAGGTTCCTTACAGGTGCACATTCTGAAATCCAGGAAGGTAAACTCAGTTGGCTCTGCCACCAGTCTGGAGAGGTGGCTGCAAAAACAGGTCTTGAATAATACATTCACAGTGTCAAGGCTCTTACTACCAGTGTGCACACCACTGAGTTCACAAAGAAAAAGTCAAACTGAGACAATCACATTCACTGAAGAAGAGCAATGAACTCCACTGAACCACCTTTCACTCACCTGCAGACATTAGGTTTTAGTCTCAAATTTCTGCAACTTCTCTAGAATGTAGGGTGCTGACTGATGCTACAAGACTTAATTACTGACTAAAGCATACTTAGACAGCCTTAGATGAAAGACAGTGCATAAATATTCTTATCACAGAGTTGGCTACATGGCACTGGTGTGAATTTGGGTTGAATGCACTTTACCAGATTAGCCCGGGCAGCTCTTTGGGGGAGATTATGCACACCTGTTGCAATAGCAGGGACAGGAAGTCCACTTAGAATAAGCCCTTTCCTGCCACTAATTATATGGTTTTTGCTTTTTCTCTGCCCTTTATTAAATATCTTTCTTTCAAAGTGATCTTATCAGGTGAGAGCACTTATAACTAATAAAATGCTCATATAGATGGCCTCTTCTGAAAGCCTCACTCTCTGTGAGGTAGTTGGATAGCTATCACCATGCTCCTTTTTATGCGTAAGTATAGCTGACTGTTATAAGTAGAATGTCAGCAAAAGAGGTTCCTTACGAGAACAAGACTTCTTCCTTTCTAGGGTTTGGCCCCAAGCAGAGGTAACGCTGATGCCATACTTCCAGGACAGGCTAGGGCATCACCTCCAAGTGGGAGGTTGGTAGTCCTGAGAAGATTACTGGCAGAAATTCAGGTTCTTCTGGTCCTGAGTGCCAAGAAGTTAGAACTCTGCCTTTGGCTTTATCACGATGCATTTTGAGATTCTGTGGAAGATTTGCTTCCCCATTCTGGGCCTCACTCGGGTCCTTGTCCTACCTCACGTAGGTGACTGTGCACTAGAAGTGAGGGAGAAACTCACCAGGTATAGCTCCCAGGGCGCTGAGCTACATCCCCAGCCAAGGCTGCAGTACATGGATGGCAGCCTTCTGTTACACAGATCCAGGGGCACCATTTACATCAAAGGCACTCTAGACATTCATATTAACTGTGGAATCGTCACAACAGATTGAACCAGAGTGTTGAGGGAGAGCTCCTTTTTTCTAACTTATACAACAAATTCATCAGAACAAATATGTGAGAAATGGCTAGAAGCAAACCCAAAAGAAAGGTGAGTAGAGTACTTAATTTCATGGTTGGTTCATTTAGAAGGTGATCCATGAGAATATAATCATGTTTCTGTTTAAAAAGAAGAAAATAAATTCTTCCATGTAGTGTATGTCCCATCAATCAACACTGTAAATACAGAAATTTTAAGTGTCAGGCTCAACTTTTAAAATGATTAGAAGTAAATAGAAAATAAATCTGCACAGCTATATGTATTCAGTACTTTGAGGGATGTGAAACTCTTTCCTGCCTGGGTTTTATAGGTTACTGTATGACACATTTCATAGGACATTGGACAACCTGGCTCAAAGGGTCTCTCCAGTTTTTACCCATCTCTGTAATTTCATTAAGAAGAACTTTTCTTGTATTCAGTGCTTCCACAAATTATGTCATAATGAGAAATGAATCTATTCATAAAAGAGCAATGATTTAAAATATTTTAGTTAGCTTGGATAGGATTTGATTGAACTGAACCTTGGCTAATAGGAGTATAGAGCAAAAATTGAGTTTAAAGTTACAAATCAGTGCTGGGTATGCTAACACATGCCTGTAATTCTAGAACTCAGGAGGCTGAGGCAGGGGGATTGTGTGTTCAAGTCCAGCCTGGGCTACATGGGAGTTCAAGGCCAGCCTAAACTACACTCAAACTTATGAAGAGTATCAACAATAGGAGGTATGAAAAGAGTTTTTCATATTTAAAGTAACAAAAGCTAGAGAAGAGCAGATATTCAGTATTTT